GATGTGCCAACAACAATCAAGGCTCTACTACAACAGGAGGGTGCACACAATCCATATGGTGGGGGGTCACACCTGGAGCACTCAGTTCAGGTGACCAGGGAGGCAGTGCCACTGGGTCCTACATAAGAAGGACATCTTCTACATAAGGCCACTCTACCAAGACCAGATCTGGAGACATAGCAGCTCTAACTAATACACTGAAACAAGCAAAGAGAGGCAGCTAGAATGAGGAGACAAAGAAACATGTCCCAAATGAAAGAACAACACCCCAGAAAATAACTAAACAATGGAGACATGCAATCCACCAGATGCACTGTTCAAAACACTGGTTATCAGGATGCTCAATGAACTTAGTGAGTACTTCAACAAAGAGATAGGAAACAGAAAAAGGGAGATAGAAAACATTAAAAAGAACCAGTCAGAAATAGAGACTACAATAACTGAAATGAAGAATACATTATAGGGAATCAATAGTAGAATAAATACACAGAGGATCAAATCAGCAATTTGAAAGGTAAGGAAGCAGAAAACACCCAATTAGAACAGGAAAAAGAAAAAAGAATTAAGAAAATGAGAATAGTTTAAGGAGCCTCTGGGACAACTTCAAATTAACCAACATTTGCATCATAGGGGTGCGTGAAGGAAGAGAGACAGCAAGAAACTGAAAACCTACTTGAGCCCTGGCTGGTGTGGATCAGTGGGTTGAGCGCCGGCCTGTGAACTAAATGCTCACCAGTTTGATTTCTAGTGAAGGCATATGCCTGTGTTGTGGGCCAGGTTCCCAGTTTAGGGTATTCGATGTTTCTCTCCCTCTCTTTCTCCCTCACTTTCCTCTCTCTAAAAAATAAATAAAAATCTTAAATAAAACCCAAATTTGTATTAAAAAACATTTTGAAAAAATAATAACAGAAAACCTGGTGAAGAAAATAGACATACAAATCCAGGAAGCACAGAGTCCCAAACAAGATGAACCCAAAGCAGCCCACACCAAGACATGTTATAATTGAAATGCCAAAGGTGAGAATCTTAAAAGCAGCAAGAGAAAAACAGTTAGCTACAAAGGAGCTCCTATAAGACTGTCAGCTGATTTCTCAACAGAAATTGAGGCCAGAAGTGATTGGCGTGAAATATACAAAATGATGAAAAGCAAGGACCTGCAACCAAAATTACTCTAATCCGCAAAGTTATCACTTACAATCAAAGGACAACTAAAGAACTTTTCAGGCAAGAAAGAGCTAAAGGAGTTTATCAACACTAAATGAGTATTACAAGAAATGTTAAAAGGTCTACCTTAAGAAGAAAAAGATTAAAAAATGTAAACAAAAAGGCAATAAATACATATCTATAAATAATTACTTTGAATGTTCCAATCAAAGGACATAAGGAGGCTGAATTGATAATATAACAAGATCCTTCCTTACATCTGCTGTCTACAAGAGATTTACATCAGATGGAATGACCTAGATCCCTTTCATCCCAACTTCTCAGAAAGTAAAGGGATGGAAAATGATATTTCATGAAAATAAAAACAACAACAAAAAAATAGAACTTTAAAACAAATATGATATCACAAGAGGAGAAGAAAGGACCCTGCAGTTCCACTTCTGGGTATTTATTTGAAGAAACCTAAAGCACTAAATCAAAAAGACATATGCACCCATATGTTCATTGCAGTATTATTTACAATAATTAAGATATAGAAGTGACCTAAGTGTCCATCAATAGATGAGTGAATAAAAGAGAAATGGTGCATATATAAACAGGATATGATTCAGCCATAAAAAAGAATCAAATCTTGCCATCTGCAACCACATGGAGAGACCTAGAGGGTTTCATGCTGAGTGAAATAAATCAGACAAAGAAAGGCAAATGCCATATGATTTCACTTATAGGTGGAATCCAAAAAGCAAAATAAACAAGTAGGACAGAAACAGACTCAGATACAGAGAACATTTTGACAATTGCCCAGTGGGAGGGGGGTTGGGGAATGGGTGAAAACGGTGAAGGGATTAAGAAGTAAAAATTGGTAGTTACAAAAGATTCATGGGAATGTAAAGTGCAACATAGGGAATATAGTTAATAACATTGTAATAACTATGTGTGGTGTCAGATGGGTGCTAGATTTATTGGGGTGATCACTTTGTAAGTTATATAAATGTCTAATCCCTGGGTTATACACCTGAAACTAATATAATATTGTACATTAACTACAATCGAAAAATTAAAAAATATTTAAAAATAAAATCTAATATTAAATTTTAAAAATATCATTATCCTCAGAGAGATGAAAGAAGATATTGTATTTTGGAAATTAAAAGAACAAATATATGTAACAAAACTTTTTTTTTTTCCAAGAATGGAGGCTATATTGAAAACTTCCAGGAAGTAAACAAAAAGACAAATGAGTTGGGGGTGACCAAAGGAACTTCAACTTTAAGTGTAACTTTTTAATATTTTGCACGGAGAATGCAGTCACAGTATTCGTGTAATTAAAAACCTTAGCTCATGTGGCAATCCCTGTAAAGCCTCTGGCACACAGTAGGTCCCTGGTAGTTTCTCTTCCCTCCAGGAGCCCAGAGCTTGGCTGGCAGCCCCAGGTCCTTCCTGACTGGAGGGCTCAGCCAGGGGTGGAAAGTGGTGAACAGCTGATTGGGTGGTGGTAGTGCCCCCGGGCCTGTATTCCAAGCAGCATTCCCAAGGGCGAGCTTCATTTGTTCCTAATTCGGAGGCCTTGATTTACAAGCTATGATGAGGGACACACAGGTCTCTGAAATTAATTACGATTTTGGTCTTTTTCGACTCATGTGGATGGAAAAAATTTATGCGTCCATGTGGAAACGACCAAGCCCGCTTTCATCCCAACTTCTCAGTGTGTTAGAAGAGGGAAAAATAATGCATGAAAAACTTTATTAAAGTGTCACCTACATGGGAATCACTAGGAGTACTTGTTAGTAGTGTGCTTGGGCCCCCTTCCACATCCTGTGAATAAGCCTTGGGAGTGGGGCCCAGAGATTCAGCTGACAACCCCTGAAGAAGGTAAATGTAGAAACCAGATCTCAGTTATACAAATATATTACCTTATTTTTCTTTAGTTCGACTTACCCTTATTTGAGTTTCCATTCTACCTGCTCAAAGGAAACATTCTCTTATTCATTTCCAGGTAAATTCCCTCATACCACCCTTTCCCTTCTGCCTCCACCATTGATCTAAATTTGGGGACGCCTTAACACTGCAGCACAGGATGCAGGGGAGGGGCCGCTCAGTGAGAGTCCTCTCTCGGAGATTAATCCGCCCAGTCCCTGATTCCCTGGATCACACACGCTTCATTTCTACTCTGCTGCTGTCCCCCCCCCCCCCCCCCCCCCGCCACCCTGCCCCGCCCAGGATCCAATAGCATTGTGCCAGCATTCCAAGACACACCCTTTGGGAAATTTACTTCACATTCTGTTCCTTCCATGTACTGGACTCCACCATGGGTGGAGATAGGGATCATTCCTAAAACAGTGTCTAACATCCTGATTAGTCCTCCACCAGTTTCTCCACAGCTAGTGCAGGAAGGGTGTTGGGGGTGGGGGCTCTGCCTGTTTGTACCTCCTTCCAACCTTCCCTTAGACCCAGACACTATGGCTTTTGAACTTAAAAGCTTAGAATTAGCTATTTTTCTTCTCTGGCTAGATAGTAGAGTAGTTAGTCTCAGGGTCAAAACACAAGAGCTAGCACCGCAGAGTGGGATCTGAGGCCATCATGGAAGCCACTCTTTTCTTCCTTTTCACATAGGCTGAGCCACCGGACATTGTGTGTCATTGCACAAGGACCGGGGAAGTGGCTGCTCCTTAGAGGAGGGGGGAGTCGAGAGCATCTTACCTGAAATCTGCTGAGTCCCCACACCCAACACTAAGGCTCCCTGTTCACTCACCTCCCCCAGACAGCTAGGAAATGACACCTCTGGTGACACAGCGACTCCCCAAGCTTCTGTTGGGAGGGGTGGGATGCTGCATGCGGGAGGTTCTCACACCGGGAGGCCCTGGGAAGCCTGGGTGGGAGAGGGAAGAAGCTGGCTCCTGTTTCTCAGAGACAATGGTCACGGGCCTCCCCTCTCCCCTTCTGGGGATACAGTGAGGACCCCGACTAGGGCTCCCCTAAGACGCCTCCTTCTTCACCTGTGAGACTTGCCTTCACCCACCCCACCAGACAGGCAGTTCATCTGGTCCTGTCTTCTCCTAGGTGAGGTGCCAGGCCCGCTGGGAATGAGCTGGGTGGGCACGTGCAGCTGCTGGGTCTGTTACTAGGACCTAAAGAGAGGCCAGTCAGGGATGGAAAGGGCCATGGATAATCTTCTCCACCAAGTTCCAGATCAAGCCATTTAACAAATAGGCATTTCCTGCCTACACAGCTAATGTATTTTAAGCCCAGAGACAGGGCTGGAACTATCCAAGGTCACATCTATGAGGCCAATACGCATGTAAAGTAGTACCATTTAATCTGGGCACACCAGTAGTGACTTGGATAGGATGTGGGGGAAGGGCCTGCCTCATGTCTTTTCCTTCATAGCCCCCTACTCAGGGTCCATGGACCGCAGACCTCCTTTGAGACATCCACCTGTAGGGTGGTTCCCAACTCCACCTCAGCACCAGGGTCCCAGTTATTCTCATTGCCCTGGGACCTGTACTTACCCTTTCTGATTTCCCACCCCCAGCCCGTGCCCAGGGCTGAAGGCGACTCACCAGGTACTAGGACCTGGCTAAAGGGTGAGACCTTGGGCTGTGTGGGGTGCAGACTGATTTAGAGCACAGGAGACGGCTGTGTGGACTCTGGTCCCACAGGGCAGGGTGGCGGGGGGCGTGCGGAGGCCGCAGCCGGGAAGCGGCGGGAGATGAGGGGACCCGGTAGCGCCGAGACCGCCGCCCCGCGGGCACGCCCCCCTCCCCGCTGCGCCCGGCCCCCGCGGCCCCGCTCCGGACCAGTCACCACGGCGCCCCACCCCCGCCCGCAGTGCCCGGATGTGGGTGACGTGCGGCCGCCATCTTCCCGTCCCCGGCAGCCAGCGCCAGTCGGAGCTAGCGCGAGCTGCCGCCGCTGCTGGTGCTGCTGCCATCCCTGTAGTTGCCAAGTCCTGCGCCCGCTGCCCGCGCCATGTGAGTCTGCCGCTCTTGCCCTTCCTGCACTGGCCTGAGCCGATCGCCGCCCTGGGCCCCAGACCCAGGGTTCGACCCGCGCCCCGCGCTCCCCACGCCCGGAGGCCGAGCCAGCGCCCGTGACTGCGCGCGGGCGGTGGCTGCAGGAGGGAGCGGACCCGGTGTCTGCCCTCTCGCCCAGCCCCTGTCCTTTCGAGTCGACCCCAGACCAAGTCTCTGAGGTCGCCCTCATTTAACAGGCGGGGAAACCGAGGCCTGGATGGGGGAGGGGGCCTCATTCAAGGTCACGGATCTTTTAGGCGGTGGGGCCGGACGGGATCCGGGACTTCCAGCGGGTGGCCTTCCTCCCGGGAAGGAGGAAGGGAGGAAAGGATGGAGAGACAGGCAGATGGGCGGAGCCCTGACTGCGGGGCCGAAGCATTCGGGGCCGGGGCCTTAATCCGTCTCTGCCCCCCAGGTCGGCTACCGCTGCCACCGTCCCCCCCGCCGCCCCGGCTGGGGAGGGAGGTCCCCCTGGGCCCCCTCCGAACCTCACCAGTAACAGAAGACTGCAGCAGACACAGGCCCAGGTGGATGAGGTGAGTTGGAGGGGGGGGAGGGGTGCCGAAGGCAGTGGGAAGGTTGGCAAACTAGTGTGGGGATCCACTTGAGCTAGGGATGATGACAGTTCACCTTTATGAGTTTTGGAAGAAAGGTAGCATGCCCCATCCCTGTCAGCGTGCACTTGAAAGGTCCCTGGAATGGTAGCCTTGCTAGCCTGGGGTGTTTCAGCCTGGGCAGACGTGCTCTGGTGACAGGCAAGCTGCTTGAAACTCGATCGAGGGTGCTGCTTTGACATCTGAGATGTCTGGCTATCATCTGCTCCCAATATATGCTCCTTGTGTGGCCTCAGGTGTGGTAGGTATGTTCGGTGTGTGTCCTTGGCATGTTAGCCTGGCAACATCAGGGTGCATGTTCTGTATGTGGGCACGTGGTGGTACAGGAGTGCCCTCATTGAGGTGGCCTTGGCACACCCCCTGCCTTGTGGTCTTGTCCCCCAGGTGGTGGACATCATGAGGGTGAACGTGGACAAGGTCCTGGAGCGGGACCAGAAGCTGTCGGAGCTGGACGACCGTGCGGATGCACTCCAGGCGGGAGCCTCCCAGTTTGAAACAAGTGCAGCCAAGCTCAAGCGCAAATACTGGTGGAAAAACCTCAAGGTAAGGGTGGAACCAGTTAGGAGGACTGGTGGGTGAATAGGGGTTTCATGATCTGTCTCACTGACTCTCCCCTCTCACCTCCAGATGATGATCATCTTGGGAGTGATTTGCGCCATCATCCTCATCATCATCATTGGTGAGTATGGTAGGAGTGGCTAGGGCCCTTTTCTTTGGAGAGGTTTCCCCTATGAGTTCTGGGTTTTGAAGGTCATTAATGTAGTTTTTACTATTCAGCAGAAAGTATATAAAGCTGCCAGTGGCGGTTCTGATTCATTTAGAGCCCAACACCTTGATGTTGTTTAGCCAGTGCTTTGTCTGGTTGTGGGCAATTCTGTTCAGATTTTTGAAAACAGGAAAGCTGGTGGATCCCCACTGTTTCCTTGAGGAGGACCCCCGTCTGGGAAGCCTGGAACTGGGGAGTAAGAGAGCAGGAAAGGCCCTTGGGAATTGAGGCATGGCTAGAAAACCATTGATTAAGAGTTTGTGGTTTCAGAGGCCATAGCACTGGGGGGGGGGGGGTCTCTGGTCCCAAGGCCATGCCATGGGGTTGAAGAGACCTTAGAAGCCCCCTGGCCAGCCCCCTTGCTTTACATGTGGAGAACCTGAGGCCTAGAGGGGAAGGGATGTCAGCCAGCTGGGGAGTGGGGAGGGTGGAAGCGGGGCCAGGCCTGACACACTGCTTTCTCTCCTCTCTTTCTCCCCTCTCCCTCTTCTTCCTTCTCTTTCCCTCTCTGTAGTTTACTTCAGCTCTTAAACCCCCGAGGAGCCTGCCCAGAGAAGGGCCTCTCATCCCCACCCATCCCCAGCCGCTCCTCCACCTCTCAGCCATATCTTCCAGCCCCCCATCCGTGTGTGTGTCCGTGTGTGTGCCCCCTGTAAATAGCCAGCTGTTATTTATACATATATAATATTATATATATTTGGTCTGTTTGTAGTTTTATTACTAGAAGATTTTTCCGGTTGTCCTTAACACCCCTTCCTGAGGTTCCCACCACCTTTCTCTTTCCCTCCTTCCCTTTCCCTCTTTTCCTGACCAGCCCCAAGTCCCTTCATTTGCATCTGCTATGCAATAGCCCCTCTTCCTCTCCTTCTTCCCTTGGATTTAGCTGATCCTTCCTCCCACCCTGGCCTTCCCCATACCCCCACCCCCCTACAAAAAACAGAAACAAAAAGCAATTGTCCAGGCCTCCCTAGGTGCATCTTCTTTGCATTATTTGGGAGGCTCTGAGACTGGCCCCACTTGGTCCTAAGAATCCCAAGGTCTGGGAGCTTCCAGCATGTTAATTAGCATTCATTTACATACTGACATCCCTTTTGGTTTCCTTTTTTGTTCATCATTCTTTAGTTCATTCTTTCAACCCGTGGTTGGTTGGTTTGTTTGTTTCCACTGAGGAGTTGGTCCTCATTGGTCATTGTATCACAGTTTCATTTGCATGACATTACTTGTAGGTGGTGGGGAGCCTGGGCTTTTTGGGGAGCCAGGCTGTTCTGGCCCCCAGAATCATCTCCTAGCCCCTGTAGTCCAGTTTGCCTCCCCTACCCCCATTTTCCAAACCTCTTGTCCCCTCCTCTCCCTCCCCGGAGCTGGTGTGTAAGTGTCTTGGAGTTCAGTGTGTTATGATGGACCAATAATTCTGCCACATGGAGTTTTTCCCCACATTCCTGATCCCCAGTTTTCATGTGGGGCACTCAACTGACATTCCCATGGGGTCTCCCTCCCTCCCATCTGTCTGATCTTCCCCCTCCTCCTCCCTCCAGGAGAGTTGGGGGTTGGCCACAATCTGATCTCTTTTGGGAGAGGTGGCTGCCAGTGTCTGAGGGGTCATCACTGCCTTGGAGAGGAGTGGAGCAGGGCAGAGAATCTCCCCAGTTCCTGCCTGAAGTCTCCTCTGGCCCCATCCCTGCTGGGGGTTGGACTGAAAACTCTCCTCCCCAGTTTGGAGGGTGTTGCCTCCTTCACTGCCCAGCTCCTCTGACTGCCCCCCACCCGAATTCAGGATGGGGGGTACTAGTCACTGCCAATGTGTGTGGAACTTGCTGGAAGACGGGGGTTCTTGCCCTTCTCCAGGGTGGTTGAGCCCAGAGAGAGACCTGTCTTCTCCTTAGGTGAAGTGATAGAGGAAAGGTCTAATGTCTTTTTAAATGGCACAATCAGGGGGGGCCTGAGGGTACAGTTCCTTAAACTGTCACTGGAGGGGACCCCCCCAACTCTTTCCCCCACACTCAAGGTTTCTGTGTGGAGGGGGAACAGGGAGATCTAAGCTGTGGTGTGAAAGGGTAGGGAGAGATGCTGGGGGTGGGGATGCTGTGCTCTAGATCCCCCATATTATCCCAGTGTCCTCTGCCCCCCATTCCTTCACCCCATGCCCCCAATTCTGTGGCGCATCCAGATTGTGAAAATGTACAATAAATGTGTAATGAGTAACTAAATGGTGTCTGTTCTAAGGCCTCTTCTTAACCAACGGGAAAGGTATTGGGTCTGCAGGTTTGTCCCGAAGATTGAGAAGATACATTGGGAAGGGACTGAGCTTTGCTGGAGGGCCTGACCTTGGGCAGGGCAAAGTGTGATTCCCAAAGTGGCCACGGTGGGGCACCAAGCGGTACCACGCGTGGTTAATGGGAGTGTTGATGATCCCTGTGTCTCACCCTGGGGAACCCTGAAGCCTAGGTTTCCCAGCTTTCCGTTCTCCATTACCTGAGGGTATGCTCTTGCTGTTTGTTGGATCCCTTTTACCCCTTGATTTAACTTCCAGACATTGTGCAGTCGCTTCTGGAGTCATTTATACCTAGATCTGAAGTAAATGGCCAACTTCGGTGAAACATCTCTTCCACTTTGTGCCTAGCAGTCCAGCATCCAGAAGGGGTTAATAAATACTGAACTTACCCCTGCACTCTTGTCAGACTCCTGGCGCTAGTCCATGATGCCCCTAATATGGCACCCTAGCATTCTTGTCCCTGGGTGCTTTAACAATGAGTGCAGCCAGATAGTGTTTCCCAAACTTGTCAGCTCCTAAGAACTACCAGCAATTCTTTTAAAGTAGATTTTTAGGCCCCTTCCCTGGAGATTCTGATTTAGCAGTTCTAAGGAACCGAGATGATTCTTTTGAGTACACAGTTGTCATAATGTTCGCCATTTTTTGAGGGTTTACTACACTATATTCCCGTCAGTGCTCAGGACTTTCTAATATTTCATCTACTGAATACTTGTAAGGTTTAGGGTTCCCACAGGCCCTAGGACCTACTTCGTTATAGTGCTAGGGACCGCGGTTCAAATCTTGGCCCCACTACCGACTGGTGTGTTCGTCCAGAAGGATTATGTAACCTTTCTGGATCTCAGTCGCATTTGTGAGGCAGAGGGTAGTAACCAAGCCGGCCTCACTCCGGGTTTGTGAGAAGCGCCTGGTCTGGTCCATAGAAAAGAATCTGGGAGCCTGCTGTCCTCTTCACTCTCATGGTGGCACTGGGGTCTGAAGACAGCTCTTCATCCTAGTGCTTGCACCTTCCGGCTTCTAGGAGCCTCAGGGTCCCAGTGCCAGAGTCTCAGCTCTGGGGAAGGCGGTGACGGAGGCTGCTCTCTTCAAGCTGGGACGCTTGCACTCAGGGTGTCCGCACAAGTCGCCCCCATCAAAGCGACTGCCGCACGCATCAGCCACATCAGCGCCTGCGCGCGGGTCACACTCCCTGCGCCTGCGCCTGCGCAGACTCCACAGTCTCGAGTAGAGTGTCGTCAAGGAAAATCCCCAGCTTCTAGGTAAACAAGTTGCCGCGTGAGATCGCTCGCACGTGTCCTCTACAGCTCCGAGACCTCTCAGCCTATGAGGAAGTTTGGAGGGCTGGACCGGTATTTGCGTCACGGCTCTAGGCTGGGGGGACGTTGCCACAGCCAATAAGAACTTCGGAAGTGGATGGGGGCGAGGCTTTCTGTGGATCAACGCTCTCCGGGGGCGGCCCGCCCGCACGTGGACTTGTCACTGAGGATTGGCAAACCGACTAATCAGATGATGACGGGCGGCAGGCAGCACCAATGGCGACTACGCGGAGGTCGGGCGATGGCACGCGGCGCTGGGCATGGATCCGCGCCCTTAGGCCAATAAGCTCGAGGGGCGTGGCATCCCAGCCGGTGGGCGGGCCTGGAGAAGCAAGTCCCAGTCGCGGCGGTCCTACTTGGGAAGAGATTGGACCCCCGCGTGCTTGCCAGGAGGTGAGTGCTCGGAGGTAGGGGGAGATGAGTGGTGGTCAATGTGAGTTTTTCTTGGGTGGTGCGTTATGTCAGTAGGGATGTTAATGGAGTGTGTTTGCGTGGGTGAGGTGGGGGGGTGCGGTGGGGATACAGCGAATGCGTGATCGCAACGGTGGGAGCCCTGATCGTAGCGGCGGAAGCCTTGATCGTTCTAGGGAAGAGACCATAACTCCGCGCTAGAGGGACGAGGGTGAGGTCTGGGGGAGCCTCTGAGATCAGATCTTTCACTGCCCTAGGGCACCTGGACCCCTGACTGCCTGGGAGGCGGGGCTCGGAAGCCCTCAGCGACCTAAGGGAGCTGAGACCCCTGCTCCCAGGGAGATGCAGGCTCGGGATTTCTGAGAGTGAGTGGGGGACGTTCCAGTGCATGGCTGCTGTCTGGGTATGTGCCTTAAGCACTTGGAAGGCGCAGGGGTTCTGGGGCTGCAGGGACGCCCTGGTAGGGCAGGTAGGAGGGTTCAAAAGGTTTGACATGCTGATGATTTGTGTGACCCTGAACCAGTCATATGGCTCTGGATGTCTTATGAGTAAAGGGGAGCCATCCTTTGAAGTAAAGGTGAGGTAGCAACCTCACCCTTTGTTGGATCCTGAGAGGGAGGATGAGGTTGTACAGATTGGCTGTGCACATGCCTTCCTGAGCCCCTGAAGGTGAGGAGGCACCAACAGGGTGCTCTGGTAACTGTGCAAACAACGAGGCCTGTGGGAGTGTAAGAGTGACGAAGTGGAGTCCCTAGGAAATCACTGGGGCTAGTAGGTGCTAGGATGAACTCAAGGACTTTGTGAGCATGTGAAAACTGGGGCTATGATGATTGGAAATGTGTGGGGAGTGCAAACTGAACGTCCTAAATGATAGGAGGGGTTAAATGGAGTCTGAGTTCTAGGCACCAAACTCAATCGCCTGGACATTTGAGAGGGTCAGGTTTCCCAGTGCTGGGTAACCCTTCACAGGTTCCAGAAAGCTAAGAAGCCAGCATGACAAGCCATTATCATAGGTTACATTTGAACTCTGCGCTCTATTTGTTAAGAGCCTGAGAACATATTATGAGGCAATTTAGTCAGCATTTAGTAACTTGTGAGCCTGAGTAGGTCCTTATGGAATGGGGAGAATGATACCCATCTCAAAGGGTTGCTCTGGGGATTAAATAAGAAAATGTATGTAAAGTGCTTGGCATAATGCCTGGGTCATGTTTTAAAAATTATTTAGCTAAAAAATGCCTATAGACTGACAAAACAAGAGTGGCGGGGTGAGAGATTTATGTGAATATTGTGATTAGGAATTATTCTCACATTTTCAAGTTTTTCTGCAAGTTTTGGTGACTCTGTCTGCATTTCCCTCTTCCTGGTTCCGGTCTTCAGGCACCTGCCCAAATCCCTCATTCCACCCTTTTACCCCTCTGCCAGGAGCCAGGCTTTAGGCTGAGCCACTTGCTGTCCCAGTTCGATTTCCTCATCTTAGACCCATTCTCCTCCCTTCCCCCCCTTCCTCTTTGCCATGGTAACGAGAGATTCAGGCCTGAAGGGGGCCTTTGAAAGAGCAAAGGTGCGTGTTCTCTCACAGAACCTGGGCCTCCAGCTTCCCCACCCTGGCTGTTTGGGATTCGGCCAGCAAATGTGTACAGTTTGGAAGAGGGGAAAAGCCAGTGCCAAGAGCTGTGGGGACAAGCCTAGGGGAGGGCGATGCGTGTCTGGAAGAGAACCAGTCATAGGGGAGGGGGAGGGGGACCCCTTCCTTCTAATCCTCTCTCCAGGAATCCCTGGCTTTGGGACAGGACGGCTGTCGTTGGGTTGGGGGAGGCGCCCGGGTTTGTGCTTGTCCTGGGCCACCAGCCAAGAGAACATGATGTTCCTAAGTGCGCTGGCCGCCGCCCTCTCGGGCTGGCCGCCATCCAAACCGCTGCCTCCCCAGCCTCCCTGCCCCACATTCCCCCGCTTTCTCGCCCCGCCCCCTTCCTCGGCTTTGACGTCACCGCGCTCTCCCGCCCCCTCTCCTCCATTGACGGCAGCAGGGCCTGGTTACTGTGGGGACCGTGAGGCAGGACAACCTGGGCCGTGGGAGCAGGTGAGGGCTGCTGGAGCGCTGGACCCTTTTGTCTATGCAAGAAATAAATATGGAGGTGGAGGAGGGAGAGCAAGGACTGTCTGTGTCAGGGGAGGTTACACCTAAATCCCTGAGGTGAACTAGGGTGGAAGAAAAATTGTTTCCAGAGAAGAGACTGCTGAAAATGAGACAAGGGACAGGGCCACAGTATGTGAGTTGGGGGTACATTTTCAAGTAGAGAAGTCTGGAAACCCAAGCTCCTGAATCCTTTGTTTCCTGTGTTTTCTTGCTTTGGTTTTTCTATGTTATGTTATTCCCTCCTGCCCCCGCCCCCAGTTTTTCCACTGAGCTTTCCCCCTGGCCCCCCAGTGGGGAACACCACTGCCAAGGAAAGCGTAGGCCACGTGACAGTGAGGGGCGTGCACCCACAGCTGATTGTGTCAGCGTTAGCTGGGGGAGGGGGCGCTCTTCACTCTGCCAACCACATTTTCGAGGAGCCCGACAGAAGCTGCTCCTCACAGCCCTGGATGGAGTGGGCCTGTGCGCCTGCAGCGCTCCTCGGCCCAGCCCGGCACTTCAGCCCCCAGATCAGGCCCCTGTTCTTTTTTTAGGACTCAGTGTTCTGTTCTCTCTTCTTTTAAAAAAAGTTGTAATTTTCAGCTCCTTCCTCATTGTTGAGGCCCCTTCCCCTCCCCTATTTTATTTTTAAATTTTTATTTATTGATTTTAGAGAGAGGAAAGGAGAGAGAAACATTGATTTGTTCCACTTACTTATGCATTCATTGGTTGACTCTTGTATGTGCCTTGATGAGGGATCAAAACCACAAACTTTGCATATCAGGACGATGCTCTAACCAAGTGAACTAAAAAAAAATCACTGTTTTTTATTGATCACCTATAATGTGTCAAGTTCTGCCTTAGGGACTAGGGAATACAGTAGAAAGAGGATGTCCTTGGCTTTCTCTTTTCCTAACAGTGGGGATCTGAAGCCCTTACCACCCCACCTTTCTCTGCATAGGGTCTCTCAGGTATTCCCTTTGTTCCCCTGTAACCCTGGGCTTCTGGTCCTTCACTTCGGGGGCAGCCCTAATTGTGTGTTGCTACATCCTCAAGAGAAGCAACGAGTAGGCTGCCTGGAGACCTTTTCTCTGACTGGCCACGGAAACACCTGCCATTGTTTCCCTTCACAGCTCCTATTGGCTCTGGGTACCCATTGTATTATTTGTATCCTCCACTCCCACACTCCCGCCCCCACTCCTGCACACATGGATACTCAATTGCCTTCCTCCTAGCTGTCCAAGTATTTTAAGTGTCAGAGGAAAGGGTTAGGTAAAACAGCTTTATTAAGAAAAGGCTGGGGAAGGGAACCCAGGAAAGGTCAAGCCAGGTTTCTGTCTGTCCCCCTTCTCCCAGGGACCAGCCATCTCATCCATTTTAGCTCACTCACCAGGACTTGCATTTCTTTTTTCCACCCCCAGCAAGGCCAAGGTGTCCTGCAAGGCTGCTCAGTTCAGTAAGTGAATATTTCTTAGGCACCTATTGTGGCCCGAGCATTTTCCCGGAAAAGGGACAGTTTACTTCCCCTCTTTTCCCCTCCCCTCCCTTTCAGTATGCACTGTACAAGGCGTCCTGCGCCCATTGGCTGGGCGGTGGTGTCTGGGGCCCTTCGGTTCAGTGCCAGCACCCAGATCCACGTGCGCGCGCGTGTGTGACACAGACCTGACCTCAGTAGGGGCCAGTAGCCAATCACGGACCAGGATGAGATCCCCAGCCAATCGAGGGCGGGGCTTGTGGCTCCTCCGGTAGGAGGCCAATGAGGGGCAGTGCCTGGCATTATGCAACCCGCCTCCTGGCCCCGCGGAGCTTCCACTCGGCTGCGGGCTGCAACGGTGGGCAGGCGGCCGAAGGGCGCTCGCGCGGGACAGGTAGGCGTCTCCTTGACCACCCAGGGTCCGGTTACCAGCCCAAAACTGGATCGCCATTTCCAGCCTAATGTGCCGCTTTCGGCCCAGGCGCTCTGATGGCCCACCAGTAAATCCGTCTTCCTTTCCGCTGTCCACTCTCTCTCTGCTCCCGGGGATCCAGGGGATCCTTGCAACCCTGCACCGGATGTCTGCACTCCTGACCCTCTTACCTCCGCTTTGCCTCGCGCTGCCAGTTCTTCCAGTCCCACACCTGACCCTCAGCAGGCATGCCGCCTGCCGCCTTTCCTGTCACTCGGGAGGGTCTCCGGGTTTCCCTGGGTACCAGGATCCCTCTGACTTTTCCGCGCTCCGCTCTCTCCCCCCTCAATCCCTGGCCCGGCGCCGGCCGTGATGTCAGCCCGTTTCGGGCTGGAACATCCCGTTCCCAGCTTTAGTTCCTGCTGTTGGCCACAACCTTGCCTTTTCTCTTGGCGCTCAGAAAATGCTTGAGGGGGTTGGGGGTGTGGTTGGACCCAGAGTAGGGGAAGAAATATCCGTTGGCTGTTGTGCATCTCTTGCTCAGAGCTGAGTGTGTCTGCTTCGGATGGGGGCGGGGTATGGGTGTCTAGAAAAGTAGCGGACTGAGGAGAGAGAATTCCTAGATCCCTGACAATAGCAGATGCCGGTTTCTGTTCTGGGGGTCAGGACAGAGTGTAGGGGCCGGAGAAGGTAAGGCTGTGTGCGAATGAACAGAATGACTGGGATCCAGGCGAGCGTCAGGCTGTGGGGCTTTTGTGTGGAGGGCGGTGGCGGTTGTGTTTTGCCCTGGGGAGTGGGGCCAGTCCACGGAACCCCGATGGGCCGCCTCTTTCAGGGGACTGAGGGTGTACTCGAGGTGGGCGAACCCTGGCCACACCCGCCTGTGTGGGAGGAGGTAGATCCCCTTCTTCCGCCGGGAAATGGGGGAGGGTCGTTCCTCCCGCCCTTCTGTGGTCCCTCCAGCAACCGCTGAGCTCAGCTGCTGACGTCGGTTTCCCTGGTGACCGCGGCGGTGGCGGAAGCGCATGGTGGGGCCGCGCATGTCCCCGCGCATGTGCAGCGGGGGTGGCGCCGCCCACAGATAAAATTAGCTCCGAGACCTAAATATAGGAGGAGATTGGCTCACCCCCTGCCCAGAGGCCTTGGAGTCTCAGGCAGAGTGGGAGCCCGAGGGGAATTTGGGGCTGGAAGGTGTCCAGACTTTGGCCTACAGCCGTTCTTCTAGTAGACTGCTCAGGCTGTCTTACCCAGGCCACGCTGGCAAGGCATATGGGGGAAAGCCAAAGAAATGCCCCTTCCCACCTCCAACCCCCTGGCGGGGCAAGAAACAGAACTTACCTAAAGCTCCCTTTTGGAAGCCGGGCTCCCAGGAGCATGGGGGCATGTGGGGGTAGGGTCTGAGTGAAGCTGGCAGGTACTGTGAAGTTCACAGACCAGCTTTTTCTAAGCCCTCCTTATGGTCTCCCTCTCCAGGTACTGGCTGTGATCGAACTTCTCACAATCTCAGAGGCTTGGGTCCTCCACCTCACTCCCCTAGCCAGGCCTCCCGGCCCCCTTGTGCATCCGTGGTGGCCTCTCCGTCATCACTGTTTTCTGCCAGCCCTCCCCATGGCCCAGACATGAGTGGCCCCTTAGAAGGGGCTGATGGGGGAGGGGACCCCAGGCCAGGGGAATCCTTTTGTCCCGGAGGGGCCCCATCCCCTGGGCCACCACAGCACCGGTCTTGCCCTGGCGCTGGCTTGGCTGATGACACGGATGCCAACAGCAATGGCTCAAGTGGCAATGAGTCCAACGGGCTCGAGTCCCGGGGTGCATCTCAGCGTAGCTCACATAGCTCCTCATCTGGCAATGGCAAGGACTCGGCCCTGCTGGAGACCACTGAGAGCAGCAAGAGGTGTGTATGGACGTGTGTTACAGGGCCTGGGAGTGGTCTTATGAGCAGGCCGAGCTAGGAGAAAGGCCCGCGCTGCCAGCCACTTTCTCTTCATCTTGGGCCTGTTTGCTTCTCCTTTAGCACAAACTCTCAGAGTCCATCCCCACCCAGCAGTTCCATTGCTTACAGCCTCCTGAGCGCCAGCTCAGAACAGGACAATCCATCTACCAGTGGCTGCAGGTTTGTGGGGTAAGGGCTGGGGGAGAGGCTGGGGGCCTGGGCCATGCTTTGAGACTAATGCCTATACCCCCCTCCCTTCCCGTGGGCCTTGCAGCAGTGAACAGTCCGCCCGCGCAAGGACCCAGAAGGAACTGATGACAGCACTGCGGGAGCTCAAGCTTCGGCTGCCGCCAGAGCGCCGAGGCAAGGGCCGCTCTGGGACCCTGGCCACACTGCAGTACGCACTGGCCTGTGTCAAGCAGGTGCAGGGTGAGTGGTGCTTTCTTGGAGGGCAGTGGCCAGGTCCTGGGCTTCTATGGTGGGGGGGCCATCTCCCTGAATGCCCCACTGCCCTCACCCTGTAGCCAACCAGGAATACTACCAGCAGTGGAGCCTGGAGGAGGGGGAGCCTTGCGCCATGGACATGTCTACCTATACTCTGGAGGAGCTGGAGCACATCACGTCTGAGTACACACTTCGCAACCAGGTCAGCCACCGCCTAGCTTCCCTGTCCTAACTCACCCTCATCCCCACTCCCATGGCTTCTGAATCCGCTCTTTTCCTCGCTCTCCTGCCCAGGATACCTTCTCCGTGGCCGTCTCCTTCCTGACAGGCCGAATCGTCTACATTTCGGAGCAGGCAGGCATCCTGCTGCACTGCAAGCGGGACGTGTTCCGGGGCGCCCGCTTCTCTGAGCTCCTGGCTCCCCAGGATGTAGGCGTCTTCTATGGTTCCACTGCCCCATCCCGCCTGCCCACCTGGGGTGCTGGGGCTTCGGCAGGTGAGGTCCCCAAGTGCCTGGGGGAGATGAGCAGTCACAGGAAGCCCCCTCTGGGAGGGACCGGGGGACCCAAGGTATTCCTTGCTGGGTTCTTCTCAGCCCAGGGAGGATGTGGGGGCCTGTGCTCACCTCTCTCCTGGTCTGTCCCAGGTTCAGGCTTCAAGGATTTCACCCAGGAGAAGTCTGTCTTCTGCCGTATCAGGTAGGTGGGAGCAGATCCCCTCTACTTTCTACTCGTCTCCCTTCTTTACTGTGTGAATCCTGACCGTGAGGTGGAGGGTAGGTGGCCTTTCATTGATGGTCCCTAACGCCTCTTTCCCTCTTTGTTTCCCTTGCTAGAGGAGGTCCTGACCGGGATCCAGGGCCTCGGTACCAGCCATTTCGCCTAACCCCATATGTGACCAAAATCCGGGTCTCAGATGGGGCCCCGGCACAGCCATGCTGCCTGCTCATTGCAGAGCGAATCCACTCGGGTTACGAAGGTGGGCAGGCCAGGGGCCTAGCCTGGTGGGAGTGGGAGGGATGCACCTTCTCTAGGCTGAGGGTGAGGCAGGACCTGAGTTTGGGAGGCACGATTCAGTCCCTTGGAATTTTGGAACAGAGAGGGTATTGTAAAGATGAGGATTTGAGGTCTCCTTTAGAAGTGGAGTTGGAAAAGAGTCCTGAGCTAGGAGAGGGTAGAGCAGAGTGTCTTGTTCTCAGCTCATTACTACTATGGGGCACAAGAACGGTCCCGGCCATCTTTGTAGGCCAGAAGGCCCAGGGAAGGGCTGTGGGGAGGATTGCCAGCCAGCCTGGGCCCCAGGCAGCGTGGAGGGCTGGGGAGCTGACCACTTCAGGTGAAACCCAGTGGCTGCATTTTCTGTGCTCAGCTCCCCGGATCCCCCCGGACAAGAGGATCTTCACGACACGGCACACACCCAGCTGCCTCTTCCAGGATGTGGATGAAAGGTGAGGGCAGGGCCTGGAGGAGAAGTGGGGAGCCAGGGCTGAGGCCGTGGCCAGACTGATGCCTCCTCCCATTTCAGGGCCGCCCCGCTGCTGGGCTACCTCCCACAGGATCTTGTGGGGGCCCCAGTGCTCCTGTTCCTACACCCTGAGGACCGACCGCTCATGCTGGCCATCCACAAGAAGAGTGAGTTCCTCTCGCCTGGTCGTCCCTCCCGGCTCTCCGCAGGGCTTCTTAACGGACGGACGCCTTTGTGCTTACGTCTCTCAGCGCCTTGCCACCCTGGATCTCCCATGGGGTGGCTCTCTGTCTTGCTCAGCTCTCCCTCCTGCTGACCCTCACCTTATTTCCCACTCCCTTCAGTCCTACAGCTGGCTGGCCAGCCCTTTGACCACTCTCCCATCCGTTTTTGTGCCCGTAACGGGGAGTATGTCACCATGGACACGAGCTGGGCCGGCTTCGTGCACCCCTGGAGCCGCAAGGTGGCCTTTGTGTTGGGCCGCCACAAAGTACGAACGTAAGTGGGCCGTGACCCAGAGCTGGCATTGGATGATGTGGGAGGGGGCAGCGTTTGACTCGCCCTTTCCCACCTCACAGGGCACCCCTGAATGAGGACGTGTTCACTCCCCCGGCCCCCAGCCCAGCTCTGTCCCTGGACTCTGATATCCAGGAACTCTCAGAGCAGATCCACCGGCTGCTCTTACAGGTGAGAGTTGAGGAGAAGAGGCTTTGGAGATGAGGAAGGGGTGGGGTGCAGGGCTGTGGACACTAACTGCTCCTCTCCGCCTCAGCCCGTGCACAGCCCCAGCCCCGTGGGGCTCTGTGGAGTCGGCCCTGTGACCTCCCCAGGCCCTCTCTTCAGCCCTGGCTCCTCCAGCGATAGCAACGGGGGTGATGCCGAGGGGCCTGGGCCTCCTGCCCCGGTGAGTGTACTCCTCCCACTTCACCCCCTAGTCTCCCGTTCCCCTGTCCACCTTTGAATCAGCATTGCCAGTCCCAAAGGAGCCCCGCCGCGTCCCCCCTCCTTGTCTCTCTTGCCCTGCTCTCATCACGGTCTCCATGTCTGCCCACTGGTACCTCATGTTGCTCTGTGCCCTGGGCTGCTGACACTGGCCAGGCCTCCCTCCCAATGCTGCCCGCTGTCCCTCTCTGTCCCACAGGTGACCTTCCAGCAGATCTGTAAGGATGTGCATCTGGTGAAGCACCAAGGGCAGCAGCTTTTTATTGAATCCCGGGCTCGGCCTCTGCCCCGGTCCCGCCTCCCTGGTGAGTTGGTGTGAGCGTGGGTTGGGGGGTGAGAAGTGAGACCAGGTGGTCTCCTGACCTTCACCCCAACCCAGAGGAGCTTCCCTCTCTTTTTTCTCTCCTTGCCTCAGCTACAGGCACGTTTAAGGCCAAGAACCTTTACTGCCAGTCCCCAGACCCAGAGCTGCGGGCAGACCCTGCTTTAGTCCAGGCCCCACCAGCCTTGGCCCCTGAGGAGGCTGAGAGGAAAGAAGCCTCCAGTTGCTCCTATCAGCAGATCAACTGCCTGGACAGCATCCTCAGGTAAGGCCAGTCTGGCACCTTCTCCCACTTGGGCACTGACCTTGCCCCACCCCAGGCCTTGCCCTCATGTGTTCTGCGGCGTCGCCAGGTACCTGGAGAGCTGCAACATCCCCAGCACGACCAAGCGTAAATGTGCCTCCTCCTCCTACACCGCCTCCTCAGCCTCCGATGATGACAAGCAGAGGACAGGTCCAGTCCCTGTTGGGACCAAGAAAGGTAAAGACTGGTGCATGCCCTGTTTTCACCGCCCGGCTGCCGGCCCTGTGTCTCTCCCCTCCTGCCTTGGGGCCCCCACCTCGCTCTGCCCTGCCCGCCCCCACCCCCAGCCTCCACACCCCCTCCCTGCTGTCCGCCCTTCCCCCGCCTCCCTGGGATTTCCTCTCCTGACCTCCCGGTGGGGGCAATGGTGGTAACTGGCACCATCTCTTTGCACAGATCCATTGGCAGTGCTGTCTGGGGAGGGGGCCACCCCTCAGAAGGAGCCGGTGGTAGGAGGTGCCCTGAGCCCGCTCGCCCTAGCCAATAAGGCGGAGAGCGTGGTGTCTGTCACCAGTCAGTGTAGCTTCAGCTCCACCATCGTCCATGTGGGAGACAAGAAGCCCCCGGAGTCGGGTATGGGCTTGGGGTGAGGGGCAGTGCCCGGGCTCCCTTGGGCCCCTAGCCAGAGCTCCCTCCCGCCCGCCTTTCCCTGCCCCTTCTGGCCCTATTGGAGAGAAGGAGGCCTCCATCTCAGCTTGGAGCTGCCACTTCTTGCCTCCATCCCCACCAGCCTTTGCTGCTTTGTCTTTTCCCTGCCCTGCTTCCTGTGTTCTTACCATCAGTTCACACACACAGTTTGGGGTGGGGGTTTCAACCCGAGGTGCTGACCACGGAGAGTCAGAAAAACCCTGTTGAAAAACCCAGAAGGACATTGACCTGGAAAACGTGGGAGGGAAAAACAAGGGGTGGGCTTCCCTTCCAAAGAGAGTATGGAGTTGTCATCCTTGGGTAGTGCCACTGGAGGGGACTGAGTACCCTCTGTCTTGCTGGGGCAGTTTTGCATGGAGAAGAGGGCCCGGAGCCAGTCCTCAGTGGGGAGGAGGGCAAGAGATACACACAGGGCCCGGGCTTGGCTGCGGGGCAGAGGCCAGGGGTAGCTAAGCTGCCGCACAGGGAGGGTGTGGTGTGGCGGTGGTAACCCCTGCGGTGATTCCGATGACCTTTCCCCTGTCTCGCCTTCCTCAGACATCATCATGATGGAGGACCTGCCCAGCCTGGCTCCAGGCCCAGCTCCCAGCCCAGCCCCTAGCCCCACAGTCGCCCCTGACCCGGCCCCAGACGCCTACCGCCCTGTGGGCCTGACCAAGGCCGTGCTGTCCCTGCACACACAGAAGGAGGAGCAGGCCTTCCTCAGCCGCTTTCGTGACCTCGGCAGACTGCGTGGACTCAATGGCTCCTCCATGGCCCCCTCAGCCCCCGGAGAACGAGGTAGCCACCCTTGGCTTCTCTGACCCTGTCCTCCACCAGGTCTAGGACCAGACCTCTTGGGGGAAGGTGGTTCTTGAGGGAGATGCTCCTGCTCCAGGGACCCAGCTGGCGTTTCCCCCACCACCAGCGCCCTGCCTAGGGACAGGCCCCTCGCTAGCTTCTCCCCATTAGGCCAGGGTTCCAGGCTGCAGCGAGAAGAGGGTAGCCTGGGGGGCTGGCGCTGAGACAGGCAGGCAGAGGAGGTCTCTGCTCCAGGTAAGCTGCTTCAGGACCAGCCTGGGCGCAGGAGCAGAAGGTATGCCCGCTTGGACTCAGTTGTCGCTGATTAAGACATCTGTATGGACCCTGGGCCAAACATAGACAAGGAGCACCTGGACAGCTCTGGGGGGGGGTCGGGCTTCAAGGGCAGGAGGCAGCCCAGCAGATGGATGCCCGAAGGAGGCCTGTGGCAGGCAGATGCAGGACTCTGGACTTGGCTTTCCTGCCTACCTCTTCATTGCATCAAGAGCTAGGCAGAGTGTGGCCTTAACTGGCAGAAGGAGCGCCAACGTGAGCAGTGCCTGAGGCAGTTTGGCACATGGACTGAAGCCTTCCACCCATTTGTTTATGGACCCACCCTGCTCCTCCCAGCTGCCAGCGCGTCTGTCTCTTCTGCACACCCCCAACTCATTCCCTCGTGTAACCTTTCCTTTCCCCCTCCTTTCTCAATAAATCCCCCTGTTCCTGCCTCTTGTGATTCTTCCCTGAAGCTCCCATGTCCCCAGAACCTGCTCTGTTCTGAGTGGTTTGGAAGCCAGACTCTCTCTGGGGCCTTCCCTGCCCTCTCCCTGGTTAGAACGGCCGGGCAGTAGGGGTGGCAGGGGGACTGAACCCCAGGTTGAGGCTGTCGCTAACCCTGGTTTCTCCCCACAGGCTGCCACCATGGCCCCACACCCCCCAGCCGCCGACACCACTGCCGGTCTAAAGCCAAGCGCTCACGTCACCACCAGGCCCCTCGGGTCGAATCGCCCTGCTACGTCTCCCACCCCTCACCTGTTCCACCCTCGGCCTCCTGGCCCCCGCCACCAGCTACCGCTCCCTTCCCAACTGTGGTCCAGCCCTATCCGCTCCCAGTGTTTTCTCCCCGAGGCGGCCCCCAGCCTCTTTCCCCTGCCCCCACGTCAGTGCCCCCTGCAACTTTCCCTGCCCCCCTGGTGACCCCAGTTGTGGCCTTGGTGCTGCCTAATTATCTCTTCCCTACCCCGTCCAGCTACCCCTATGGGGCACCTCAGACTCTCCCCGAGGGGCCTCCTACCCCCGCCTCCCACTCCCCTTCTCCGCCCCTGCCTCCCCCGCCCCCCAGCCCTCCCCACCGCTCGGACTCTCCACTGTTCAACTCGAGATGCAGCTCCCCACTCCAGCTAAATCTGCTGCAGCTCGAGGAGTCCCCCCGTGTTGAGGGGGGCGCGGTTGCGGGGGGCCCTGGCAGCAGTGCTGGGCCTCTTCCTCCCAGTGAGAAGGCTGCTGAGCCAGAGGCCAGACTGGTGAGCACCGATCCGCACCCCCTGCCCCCGTACCCGCTTATGGTCCTCGCGCAGCCCTTCTCCCCTCGCCTCTCCGCTGTGTGCTTCCTGCTGCCCGCTGCCCGCTGCCATCTCTGTCTCCATGAGGTGGTATAGTGCGGTGGGTGACCCCAGCTGAGTTTCTGAATAAGGTGGACACCAGCTGCCTCACCTGCGAAGGAACCCAATAACTTATGAGTGCATCTGCCACTTGGAAATGGTCCAGCATCACGTCCCTAGTCTTTGTCAGCTCCCTGCGCTCTCATTCTGGTCCCGCTGTCATGGAGTGGGATCGGAGACCACGTGGGTTGGTGTGCCCCCCAACCAGTGGAAACAGTGGAAGGGAAACCCAGGTGTCGATCCCTTAATTTCTCCCCATTTCCTTCCTTTCTCCCTCCTCCAGGTGGAGGTAACTGAGTCCAATCAGGACGCGCTTTCTGGCTCCAGTGACCTCCTGGAGTTGTTGCTGCAAGAAGACTCTCGCTCTGGCACAGGCTCTGCTGCCTCAGGCTCCTTGGGCTCTGGCTTGGGCTCTGGGTCTGGTTCCGGCTCCCATGAGGGGGGCAGCACCTCAGCCAGTATCACACGTGAGTGGTCCCCCCAATACCTCTCAGGGTAGGACAGTGACTGGGAATTAGGAGGCCAGGCACCACCATGGCTGAGCTGCCTGGGCCCAGGCCCTGCCTCTCAAGGCCAGGGCAGTGGACGTGTATGTGGTCCTGAGGGAGGCCTTGCGATGTCCCCGGAGTGGGGAGCACCGGCTGGCCTGACGTTGGCTGGCCCTCTGCTTCATAGGCAGCAGTCAGAGCAGCCACACAAGCAAGTACTTCGGCAGCATCGACTCCTCTGAGGCTGAGGCTGGGGCTGCCCAGGCCAGGGCTGAGCCCGAGGACCAGGTCATTAAGTACGTGCTCCAGGATCCCATCTGGCTCCTCATGGCCAATGCTGACCAGCGTGTCATGATGACCTACCAGGTGCCCTCCAGGTGAGGAGTTTGAGGCCTCCTTGGTGACCTTCACTCCGCAGCTAACTTGGGTTTTCCTTTCTGGGGCTGGCTCTGCTCTGTGGCCCTCTGTCCCATCCCCTGCCTTTTGGAGCTCCCGCATTAGTTCCTCCCAGGCTGAGGGCAGCTTTCTTGGTCTCAGGAGCCCTGAGCTCCCAGAGCACTCGATTCAGAGGAGGGACATGAGGCAGCAGGTGGGGCTTGTGGTAGGGAAAGAATACCAGCCTCGTGGGCCCTGGTCCCCGCTCCGAGCCTTTGCCTTCTGAACCCCTTCCCTGGGCAGGGACGTCGCCTCTGTGCTGAAGCAGGACCGGGAGCGGCTCCGGGCCATGCAGAAACAGCAGCCTCGGTTTTCAGAGGACCAGCGGAGGGAGCTGGGTGCTGTGCACTCCTGGGTGCGGAAGGGCCAGCTGCCTCGGGTCCTGGATGTGATGGTGAGAGGGAAGTCTGGGCCGGGAGGGAGAAGAAAGAATTGAGCTCAAGTCCAAAGGAGAGAGGCTAAGGGCTGACTCCTTTTATTGTCATTGGATTATTCTGAAGGTGGCGATTCCACTAAGTTTGCTGCTGGGTTATATGACCACATGTGTTTGGTAGACTTTTTCTGGGCCAAATCAGTGCTAATGTACGTTGTGACTTTCCCGTAGTAGGGACTAGATACGGGATACAGTGCATTTTCCAATCTTGATCCTGTAGTCTCTTTGTGGTCTCACGTTTCTTCCAAGTACATTTGGGGAAGTCTCTCGGGCTGGGGGACAAGGGAGCTGGGGGAGCAGGTCACCAGCGAGGGAACCTTGCCTGACTCACTCATTCCCTTTCTCCCTCCAAGGCCTGTGTGGACTGCGGTAGTAGCACCCAAGACCCTGGCCACCTTGATGACCCGCTCTTCTCAGGACTGGATGGATTGGGGCTGGAGCCCATGGAGGAGGGTGGAGGCGAAGGTGGTGGTGGTGGTGGTTGTGAGGATCAGGGCGGCGAAGAGGCCCAGGCCCAAGGTGGGGCTGGGGCCTCCAGCCCTCAGGACCTGGCTATGGAGGAGGAGGAGCAAGGTGGGAGCTTGTCCAGCCCAGCCTTACCTGCCACAGAAAATGGCACCAGCTAGACTACTTTTGGGGGCACCTCCAGGAGTGCATGAGAAGCTTCCTTCTTCCACATCCAACTCTCAGAACTCAGATGTGGCTGGACCAACCAATAGCAAACTGCCCCAGGTTCTCCCGCTGTGGGGGCTGGACCCCCATCACCAGCCCAGGATCCAGGCGTTGCCTCTGGCTTTTGAGGGAACAGAGGATGGAACTCTCCAGAAAAGCCTCACCTTCCACCGCTGGTGGAGTCCTTCCTTCCCTGGACAGAGTTGCTGCCAGGCTGCTGAAGCGGTCTCTCTGAGTCCCAGCTGAGCCCTAGTCCTGGTCCCCGAGGGTTGGGCTGCACTTATTTATTGAGGGAGGCAATCCTCTCTCCTACCCCCTCCCCAGATGGGAGGAGGAGGGCCTGAGGCCCAAGCAGGAGCCAGTGGTCCAAACCCCGAGCTGCTCCAGGGTGGGGGCGGTTGGTGGACCGTGGAGTCCCTGGTGCTGCCCCTCAGGTGGGACCCAGGTGTTCTCAGCTGTATCCTCTACCGATGACATTTGTGTTTTTGATATTGTGTCTGTTAATATTTTTTTAATACAAAAACAAAAAACAAAACCCAGGAGTTTGTGGAATGAAGTTTGCAGGTTGGGTGAGGGGCGGTCTTTGTGGGGAGGTGTGGCCCAGCTTCCAGGAGGGATGTCCTGGGAGTGATTCCCAGCCCTCTTCTCCCCACACCCTTTCCCGCGGAAGGGCCTTGCTGAACCTGCTAAATCTCCACCTCTTCCAAACCCTCCTCTCACCTCTTAACATTACCTTAGCTGTGTTTGTCCAGGGAAGGAGAGATGAGCAGCAACTTGTGGCTATAGGCAGGGGTCCCCAACCTTTTTGGCACCAGGGACCGGTTTTGTGGAAAGACAATTTTTCCATGGACCAGGGGTGGGTGGGATGGTTTCAGCATGAATCAAGCGCATTATATTCAAGCTCACCTCTTGCCATGGTTCCTAACAGGTTTGTCTCCCGCGGTTGGGGATCCCTGGCTAAATAGGGGCTTAGGCAAGCTCCATTGTGGGTCATGGTGCCTGAGTGGGGGATAACCCACTGAACCTACTAGCATCCTGAAGCAGTTGAGGGCTCTGGCTTTGTTGCCACACAGGAAAAGACCTGAGGGTGTCTAGGTGGCTAGGGGAGCAGGAGTCATGCACCCATGCATGGTCAAGGTGGCTGCCAAAAGTGTGGGCACAGAGCATTAACTTTCTGGTTCAGATCGCGGGACCTAGAAAGGGAAGTCAGAACTGGAAGGGATGAGTTACTGAGGACTTTGGGTCAGCCATTGTTCTGTAATTATTTCTCACTGTCCACATAAGTTGTTCATCTACCTGTAGATGTAGCACTGGCTTAGCTGGTTAAAGTGCCTGTCTATAGTAAACAGGTTATCCTGGATTCCAATCCCAGCGATACCTGGGCCAGTTGACAGTAGTACCTATTGCTGAGGGTGAATGCCTTTCCACCTCTTCCAAAGGGCCTATCGTGGAGCAATCGAAAAATTCTTCTTACCAAGTCTCATCCTTCTCTGAGCTTCGGTGGCCATGCTCTTTCCGTGTTCACCTCTAGGCTGACTCACACTGCGTTTCCACGAACTACTGTGAAGCGGGCCTTGTTTCGTCAAGGGTGTAGGGCCCTGCCCTCAGACTTTGACTGACTTTGTTGGGGCCGTATTTGGCTCCAGGGGAGGAGGGGGAAAAGGAAAGTCGTGCCGACTGGGCTGCCGGTGGCTGGTGCAAAGCAGATAGGGTCAGCAGCACCCAGCCAGGGCACACATTCGTAGACGTCTCCAGATAGTGGGGTAGGGTCGCAGGAGGCGGGCCTGTTTATAGGCAGCTATAGTTGCACAGGCCTTAGCTTCCACGTGGCTGTGATGGCCGAGTGGTTAAGGCGTTGGACTCGAAATCCAATGGGGTCTCCCCGCGCAGGTTCGAATCCTGCTCACAGCGTCAGTAGTTTTGGGAGCGTTCCTTAGTGCCTTCGGGGAGATAATTTGTTTTCTCCACTGCTGTCTTCCCTTGGAGAAGATCTGTCATTTACTCTGGGACTCGCAGGGATTCAGCTACATGTAACCATTCCGCGAGCGCCCCCTGGCTGGCCTTAGAGTCCTTTATGCGTACACCTCTGAAGGTTGTGTCCGGCAGGAACCTTGTAACTGAGGATATGGGTCGTAATTCTGCCAAATTTAGGTGATCCCTCAGGGATATTCCGCAATTGTAATCCGGTCACCTTGCAACTCATCTGTACTGTTTCATTCCTCTCCATTCTCCTCAAACCACAAATCCCTGAATTCTCTCTCAGCTTTGTATGCTCTCTTACCGAGAAAATAAGGCATTCGGAAGACATTTCCCCATCGATATCCATCTACCTACCTACCTGCCCACCTGTCTGTGGCCACACATTTTCCCTTTCTCTCATTACTGCAGATGTACCCTTCCACCTAAGGTCAACCCCTACACTTACTAGATAGACGTCCATTTCCCTTTTGGCCCATAACGGCTCAAGAACACTGCCCTCTTTCCCATACCATCAAATTTTCCAAGTCAAACTGGATTATTCCCACCAGACTACAAATATACTGAAATGTATTCCAATTTTGAACAAGCAAGACAACAAAAGGTATCTTGACCTCATGTCCCCACGCCATCTACCACCTCATTCCTTTGTTTCCCTCTCCTGCAAAGTAAGTTATACCCACTGTCTCTAATTCCATCTTCCCAGTCTCCTTTGAACCATCTCTCATAAAGTGCACCCCCTCCCCAGTTCATCAAAGCTGCCCTTGTTAAAGTTATCAAATGGCCATTTGACACACATGCTTACTCCCTTTTAGAAATACTCTTTTCGCTTGTCTTCTAGGAGACCACGTTCTTCTGATATGCCTTCTACATCATTAGCAGTTCATTCACAGATTCCTTTGCTGGCCCATCTTCTGAATCTCTAAATGTTAGAGTGTTCCCAAGGCTCAATTTTCCAACCTCTTCTCTATCTGCACTCACTCCTTTAGTGATCTCCAGTCTCAGAGCTCTACAGATCAACTAGTAATACATGCATACATCCAAAATTTTCATCTCAAGCTCTGGAATTCTTTCCTGAATTACAGAATTCAGAAAATGCATATATAGTATTGTCTACATATCATTCCCACTTGAATATCTAGTAGGCAATTGCAAACTTAAAAAATCCACACAAAACTCCTGGTGGTCTCCCCAAAACCTGCTTCACCAGCAGTTTTTCCATCTCAGTTAATGGGAATTCCATTCTTTTAGTTGGTCAGACTAAAGACCTTAGGTCATCTCTGATTCTTCTCTCACACACTGCACATTCACTCACTCAGCAATTTCTTATTTAAAATATGCAAAAAAAAATATTCAACTACTTGTCACTACTTCACCACTACACCCTGGTCCAAGCCACCCTCATCTTTCACCCGGGCTATTGCATTAACTCCTAAATTATTTCCTTGCTTCTGCTCTGATTTCTCGTTCCCTCACAGTCTACTCTGAACACATTGGGCAAAGTGATCCTTTTAAAAAAATAAATTAGGTTCTTTCATTCCTTTCTTCTTTTAAGGGGGTATCAATATGAATTCATTTTTTAATGTATGTGAAGAAAAATGTATGCACATACACAACCAAAACACATACATATAAGAATATTTCCTAGCTCTGTTCACTGTGAGAGCCTAAAAGGAATGATACGCAAGTAGTGATAAGTACATGAGTGTCCAGATCTTGGTTACTGAATATCATTCTCTACTGAATTGAACCAGAGCTCCTTGGAAAAAGGCTGATTCCAGAGCTGTGGTTGAATTACAAGAGAATCTTGAAACATTTTGTTGCACCAGGAAGTAAAGAGGTACTCAAAGAATGGTGGGTATGTATCAAAAAGACACAGTAGCTAAGGACTGTAGTCAAAGGGGTTCCTTTGGCAAATTTGGGACAATTTGAGCATTAAAATACATAATGATTGTGGTGAATTATAGCTCACTGAATCAAGAAAGAATCCAAAGTTCATATCAGTATAAATAAATGGGAGGAAAACTGAAAGCTCTTTTTCCAGTAAACTGCCAACTAATAAATACAGGAGTGCTGAAGTTAGAAATCAGCAGTTAACACTGCATTAGTGGGTGAACTTTTGATGAGGTACTAAAGAATCTCAAAATGTCTTCCCACAAATTACAAATTAATTACTACTAAGGGGAAATAACTCTACAGTGGAGTTATTATTGGCAAACACCACTTTAACCATGTGATCAAAGTGAATATCTCAGTATTGGGACACACTGACATGTGTCCCCTGATGTGATGCATTGAGAAGGACACAACATTCCTTCTGTGGTGACATTTCTGCCAAAAGTGTATAACCTGAATAATTTGAATCTAACTATGGAGAAACACCTGGCAAAACAAACTGAAGGACATTCTACAAAATAATGATCCCAAACTCTACAAAACTGTGAAGATCAAGAACAAAAAAGATTCTTCCCGATTAGAATTTGATAACCAAACTATCAAATTAGGTGAAGACATTTTCAGACATACAATGTTTAAAAAAAAAAAAATCCTACCTGTTCCTTCTCAAAGCAAACTAGAAGCTGTGCAACACCAAGACTGAGGAAGTCAGTCAAGAGGACAGGTGTTATTAGAAGCCCAGAGTCTAACACAAAAAACACGTGAAGGGGCTTCTGCAAGGTGACGATATAGAAAATCCCAGGAGCTGCGCAGCAGAGAGAAGCAGCAACCAGTCCAGACTGGAGCAGGAAAAATGCTCCAGAAGGAAGACCCTTAAAAAAAATGTAAAGCTGAAATTGAAGGATTATGTGACCTGTTTGCTCACATTTGAGAGTTTAAATTGAGTTTCAGTGAAGAATTAGTAATACATTATAGAAAACTAAACCAAAAAATAAAGCAATTATTAACTCCAGGAAGAATAAAACTATAATAAAGTTGACTCAAATGCAAAAATATTTACCTTATCATAATTATATAAACACTAAATATTCATTTAACTAAAAGTTCCAATAACAGAACTGGAAGAATGAGAGAGAAATAAAAACATCTGTGGAGAGGGTTCTGGAGGAACAGTGTAGAAAGCCCATAGAAAGTGTCTCAATGGGGGAAAGGGCATCCAGTATACATGTATGTAATTCAGAAGTATGCAGTACAGATTTAAATGGCAGAATAAACAACTATGAGCTGTTAAGTTGCCTCTGAAAAGTAGGAATTGGGGATGTGGAATGGAAAGCCAATTAGACAGACATCGAGGAGAACTAAATAGAAGCCACCTGGAAAAATAAAAATTAAAGAATCATAAGTGATATTTAAAAAAATATATTGATTTTAGAGAGAGTGAAAGAAACATTGGTGATTGGACCTGCAAGCTTTCGGTTCACTGGATGATGCTCCACCCACCTGAGCCACGCCAGCCAGGGGAAGGTATATTTTCAACAAGGGCAAAAGTAGGTGTGAAGGAGTAGAAACATGGCAAAACAAAAGGAGGTGACACACACATGAAAACACAATGGGAGACCGAGGAGGTATGAGGCTATGGACCCGTCCCTGCCCTCCGGGACACCAGCAACCCAGGAAGCAGTCA